AGAAGCTGTAAATAAAATAGAACTAGAGATGTAAAACAAATACGCCGGTGGAGTTTTTCTATATTTATTGTTTTTTGAACACGTCTAATATAAAAGTTATTGATATGGGGTTGAACAGTAATATCTCAGCTTTCCAACGATCATAGAAACATTGAATTAGGAGAAAATCCATTCTCTGAATAGCAGAGGGAATAATCAAATAGAAAGTCAAACCCTATCATTACATCCCCACATATATTATTACAGTAAGGATCAAAATAGGTTTTGTACCAAATATAAGCTCCTGTCATGCTCAAATACCATGAATGAGGTACCGTTGGATTCATGATATCACGGGGGGTTAGCGAATCGTATTCTCAGCTTTTGTTTTCTTGGTTATGCCCATCATAATATAATAAATACTAAATTCTCTAACAAAAGGAAAAAAAAGAAATAAAAGAAATCGGACAATTTTTAGCTAAGATACAGCTTATTGAAATTTGTAAACATGTTGGTTCGGTACACTAATGAAGTTTTAAATTAATTTTTGTTTCTTTCGTCGATTATATTTATTGATAAAGTAAAATTGGTATCTTTTTCTTATGATACGTTGCATTATTTTATTAGCTTATTTGTGCTCTCAGAACTCTATTATAAATGTCCTTTATTCAGACAGATTGTAATATTTATCAATAAACAAAAAAAAAAATAATAAAAAAAAATTAGCTTATTAATTTGGCATTTGATCACTTTGCTGTGCGATTTTTTTCGCACGGGCCTACTAATTGGTTAATAAACAAAATAATAAAAAAATAAAATAATCACGTAAAAATAGAAATGTGCACATAAATGAACCATAAAATCCAAGGATACGTTGCTACATATAATTAACTAAAATTTCAATAATAGGGACATAGGACATTGTAAAATATTGTGTACCTACATTTATCCCTCAGCTTAGCCATCTAATCGACTTTTCTATTTTCTTTATTGATTTTAGTTCACATATTTTATTCATGCATGTAGATTTATTGTTATTAATTTTGATTTAATTTTTGCTCTTCGAAATATTGGGGAATGGAAGCGTATGTGCGTATGAGTACAGAGTATTTGTGTGTGTTAATAACATTACTTAAAAACAAAAAGACTTACTAAACTGAAATAACATATTTAAGTATGCCTGGGATGTAAAAGTAACTTATTCTCTGAAATTGACTTACCGGAAGCGTCCCAATTTACACGTTGATTTTACACATTTTATAGGATTTTATTAAAAACGGGTCTAATGATTTTGTTCAACTCTTTATATCGGTGTAAAACTGGATGGTCTTCAATATCAGTTAGGACTTATCCTTATTGTAGTAGTCTGATAGGGCTTAAATATCAAATTTTTAGAATACTTTCTCTAAAGTATCTTTAGTTTTATTTATCAGAAATTATTGAATGCATCGAATGGGACTAACAATAGTTAGTAGTATTAAAAAATGGATAAATACGAATTATGAAAGAATTTGATAATTAAATGCAGAAGAAAATGGGAGAAATATCGAAGGTTGAAAACAAATTTATCTAAATAAGAGTAGTAATACAGGATATATTGTACCGTTGAAAAGCTAAAGACTTTAGAAAAATGAATATCTAAAATATAAGGTCGTAAAACGTAATACAGTCTACCGATGAGCTAATTTATTTTAATTGTTTTTGTTAATAATGCCTACATTCATACTGATATATAGAAAATGAACGTTTCAATAATGAAATTTCTAAGAAAAATTAGTGTTGCCCAAAACCAATCTTCAAAATCTTGCACTTTGCAAGACCAAGACCATGACCGCCTGACTGTTGGAAGACCAAGTCAGGTAAAAAAAAAATCGTTTTGTGAATATAAAGTGAGACAAAATAGTTACTAATACTTGATAATTTTAGTTACTATATTCAAAGAATTGGTATAACCAATATATTTTTGCATTTAACGTTTCCAACTTTTCATTCGGAATTAGTTAAGTTTCCAAAATCTGAAAAATTACGGTAATATCTCTATAGTAAAAAGCTAATAGGTAACTACAAACCTTGCGAGACTCTGACGTAAGACCAAGACTGAGTGCTCAAGACCAAGACTCGTCTTGGTCTAGCATTTGGGCAACACTAAGGAAAATAGATGGAAATTTTTTTTTTCCCCCGCTTGATAAACCAAAAAATATATAGGGTGTCCCGTAAGTAGATGGAATTTTTTATTAGAGTGATAATAGACCGTAAGAACTACAAAACAGTTCATATAAACAATAGGATAATTTTCAGCAGAAAATCAAAGTTTTGTGTTTTTTTTAAGCATGTCATGTTTTTTGTTGAATAGGAAGCGATAACTAAAGAAATATTTATTTTATGTAATTAATAATTGCTTCACTATAAACTAGACAAAATTCTCTTCAAATAGTAAAAGAGTTTGTCATTGTTAAAACCATTCAAAGAGGAATTTTGAGCGGCAAAACTAAGCTAAGTTATGTTTTTAAAATAAATCATGAATTATTCGTGATTTTATTTTATCATCATATACCCCAGTCTTAGGAAAACCTCTTCGTATAATAATCTTTAAGTCTATATTGAGGTTTATTAGAGAAACTTTCGGAATTATATCAAGTTTTGTAAAAAAATGATGTAATTTTTTATCCTGTTTTCTTTATTATTACTATTCTAATGGGACGTGTTCCGGAATAAATAAAGAATGTATTTATTGTACGTAATTTGCAAAGCTTTGGGCAAATGGAAAAATAGTTTTCCCTTACTTATTACAGAATAATTGTTTGCCCTTCAACAGTTTCAATTTTATATTAACCTCAAATTGTCATTATATCATAGAACACATCATCTTTAATTAGTATTGTACATACAATTGCACAGAATAAACTCAGGAATAATTTCCCGACCAGTACCGTTATGGCTGGCTTGCACACGGTCGACTGTCTGGTGGCCATGAGGTTAGATTAAAGATACTAATGAGTTGTTTCATAATAGACTAGGAGCGCTACCGACCATTTCAATTAACTGAATGACTTAAAGAAAGTAACCATTTTGAATTCTAGATAAACCTCATCAAAAAAGCGAAGTTTCTGATTTTTTTTTGTTTTATTTTTTGAACATGACTCCGAAACCACGATTTTATCGAAATTATTATCATATTCGACGTCAAAGAAGATAAAATCTACTACTAATTTTACGAATAGTTTTTTTACGAAGGCCGTCTAGCTGTTGCAAGACCAAGACCAGGACTAGTAAAAAAATCGATTTTTTAAAATAAAAATTAAGGCAAAATAGTTACTAATACTTGACAATCTTAGTTACTATATGTTAATAATTGTTATAACAAATATACATTTGTATTTGATTCCTCTAATTTTTCATTCGGGCTTAGTTAGGTTTCTTCTATCTAAAAAATTACCATCATATCTCTATAGCAATAAGCTAATAAGAATCTGCAAGACTGTTGCGAGACTTTTGCGCAAGACCAAGACCATGACCAAGACTATGTTTCCAAGACCAATACCCGTCCCAGTCTCGCATTTGGGCAACACTAGAGAAGATTAAGCGGCTGTTAAAGAGCACGGACTTGGAGCGTATTTCACTCGTATCTGCCGCACTCAACTTAAGCGCTGTTTATCTTGTCAATGCTTTTGATTCCTAATTAATGCTAATTTAACTATATTTATAATACAAATAGAATGTATAAAAATATTACATAGCTTTTCAAAGTGGCTATTTCCAGTTTACAGACGGCAATATTTCTCAGGTGTATTCCTTTTTTTTTTGAACCATTACAATCAAAAAACCTTCTTACCTTCTTGATTTGTTTACTCCTTGTTCCTCTGCCCGTTCATTAAACACGGTGTCCTGTCTGTAAACATGTATATTCCTTCTCATAGAACTGTCTACTTCGAATAATTCTTTACAATTCGTGCTTGTTTAAGGGATTCCTTGCTCATTTCCATCTTAAACTTAATTTAAACACCAATTGTTTTTCCATCTTTTCAGCTATCAATCTTTCGAATATACATATATAACAATTAAAAACTCGTATTTAAACTTTAACGTTACATAAATTTGGTATCCAGTTATTATTTGTCAGCTGTCAGACAAATCTAAATATAATCCTTATTATTCATTTTTAATATTCTTCGGTGATTACCCATCACAGGATTTTTTTTTTATTATTTCTTAATGATATTTACAACTGTTTTAAATAAATACATATAGTAAATTTGAACATATGGATATAATGACATGAAAACACTTGCTGAGTAACTAACCAATGTTAGCACTCTAATGATATGTCTACATTAGGAGATCACGGCGCCATCTTCTTTTCAGACGCCTCGGAGGGTTATCAGGAATTGAAGAGGAAGCAAGGTTAGAAACGAGAGGGTTGGGATGATTCTGAAGTTTATTATGGAAGGATAGGTATCTGGATTGGGCCAGATCTGAAAAAAAATAAACATTAAGGTTATTATGGATGGTTTTATTTGTAACAAAGTGGGGAGCATTGAGGATTTTACGGAGGATTTTGGATTGTAAGGATTGGATACGAGAGGAATTTGATAGTTTAGTGGAGCCCCATAGCTCAACTCCGTAAGTCCAAATAGGCCTTACTTATATTCATGTATATGAGTCATTTGTAATTGATTGGAAGCTTAGAGCGTTTGTCTAGTAAGTGCTGAAGTAATCGGAAACGTCGAGGGGTTTTTTGTCGTTTCAGTCTAGTATGATCTATCACAGAATAAAATTTACTTTTCTTCTTCTGCCAGCAATATTTAGACTTCTTAACGATTCCATGAATTAATTATTATTATATGTATGAATGAGCCATTGTTTCCGCTAAAAGAAGCGATTATTTTTTATAAAATGTTGTATTTAAAAAAAAAAATGAAACTATAGCTTATATTTTTAAGTTAGTTTATAAGGAAATCAATGACTTTCCTGTCATAAAGAGAGAATAATTTTCTTAGGAAAGTGCTCAAAGTAGCGTGATTGTTGGACTGGATATGGTCGACTTGTGCGGCCTACATCTCCTACCTCCTCGGCTGCTGAAGAGAGAGCTGACTTTCTCCAGTCATTCCAGTGGCCGTCTTCAGCGGAGCACCATCCTCCTCAGTACATCGACAATCTGCAGGTACTCGCTAAGGCCAATATTTCATTTTAAAGATGTATTTACAATCCTAAAAAAAAAAACACTTGCTCGCGCTCGAATAGAAAATAAATCATAACATATTACATTAACTATGAATATAAACGTATGACCATTAATACGATGTACGTAAATCATAAGCATTATTATTTTTTTTTTCTTTTTGTCATGTCAGTAATTATGTAAATTTAAAAAGTAACATGTTCTATTTAGTTTAAATGGAGACATTTATGTTCTACTAAATAATACGAAAGTAAAATTATTAACTACAACTAATATTTATCAATAGTTTTTTAATCGTAGATTTCCGACCTGCAAAAATATTTATACATTGTTTATTTTCTACTTTATTTAATGATATATTTTTTTCTTTTTTCGTATTCATCAATTTTTTTATCAATAGTTATGTACGTATATTATAACAATGAGAAATGGTTAATTGTTTAAAATAAACAAAATTAAAGGTACTTTAGGAGTTAAAAATTTGACTTTTTAGCCCTATAAGACCATTTCAAAGGGGTTAAGACCTAATTGTTATTAAAGTTTGTTTTGCAGTGATATGACGAGTTCAATCAAAATCTTTAGAGCCGTTTCCGAGAACATTGTAAACAAGTCGTAAACTCGGTAAGATAAAATAGCTCTTCAGGTAAGCCAATTTTAGCCAATTTTTTATATATATATTTCATATACAACCGAATTAAAAAAAGCATTTGCTTTTTGGATTGTAAATTACACATTCGTTTTTTACACATTACTATTAGTCATGTTTAATGTTATGATGATTATGATTAAATTCAACAGGTGATGATTTCTTGATGAAACGAACAGAACTAACTCAAATATGATATAATATATAACATAAATGGAGCCTCCACCTTATGTTAATATTTTATTTTTCCTTTTCGTACTAATATTTCTATGTTATGTTATGTTTCTTGTACATTTTAAAATTAATTATTGTAAGTGCATCATTGGAATGTTTTAACTTTTCATTTGCATAAAAATATTGACATTTTAATGACTTAGGAGCCTTATACGAGTTAAAATAAAATTTTAGGTAGTTATAAATATAGACTGTTTTAGGTATGTGATAGTAATTCTTAAGTAGATATAATTATTTCAGCTACATACCTAGTGGAAATTAGAATTATATATGTGTGTGTATATATATATATATATATATATATATATATATATATATATATATATATATATGCGTGTATGTGTGTGTGTGTAGATTCATAATGTGTAGAATCAAATGTAGTCCTACTACTATTATCTCCGAAAGATTCCTAAATTTTAATAAACTACGTTGATTATATTTTTTTCTATAAGTTATTGCTTTATTAAATGGGAGAAAATAACATAATTTAAAGGACTGAATACGCTTATTTTTATGTTATCTCTAAATGAAATAAATCAAAATTCGACTCGATGAAATTTTAATAATGGTGTTTCATAAGTAAACGATTTGCTTGTTTTATTGAGTCATATATATTTCTTATAGTACATAAGAAAGAGGATTCCGAAATAATAAACCTTAATAATAATAATAAACTTTTATTTGCATATGGCGTATGTTTAAATGTTAAAAATAAAATAAATGTAATAATAAGAATGAATCTGCTTTTAGTTGAGGTTAATTTGTAATAAGTGAATAAAATAAATTGATGCTCATTTTCGTATAACTGTTTATTACATATTTCTGAAACCAAAGCAGATAGTAAACGTGTTGCATTCTTTTTTTTATATCTAGGGTGAATAGACAGCATAGACTTTCTTTTTTTAATTATTTGGCAATCTCGATTTGTAAGCCACTGAAAAATGATGTTTATGATATCACAATCAAAATTAAATTTACTTTAAGGCGCCCACTAGCAAAAATAGGTTGAAGTAATCTCTTTGAAGTAAAGTTCAACTTTTAAGTACAGTACAACATGTTTTATCTGCTTAAATGGCAATAGTAAATTCTTGGATGACTGCCAAAGTAAGAAACTGCTGAGATCATTTCTAAAAGTTGAAGATTCATTAAACAGTAGTTCCTCCTTAGGCAAGAAATGAATTGCTTTTGACGAAGTTAAGACATTAGTTCGTTTTAATTGACGTTTGAGGGATTACTGTATGTTGAATAATTATATTGTGATGAAGCTCTAGAAAAGAAATACAAAAACGAAACTGTATTTTTTTAATTAGTACCGTACCTTTGCTACTAGTTAATGCGTCACATCCATGAGATAAATTGCTGATTTGCAGAAATATATTTATATATATTAGACCAGGGGTTGATACTTTGACGGAACTTTTAAGAGTTTTAATAAAATGTTTTATGGAAGAAGTTTTTTAAAATATTATAAGTAATTATAAGTTATTTTCAAAGGAACTTTTTTGTATACAGTTCTGGATTAATGGTGAAAGTTTAACTTTTATTTATTTGAGTTCTTATATATATATATATAAAAAAAAGATACTTTAAATGAGAAATAAACAGTAACTGGGATTAGAGTTATAATTTATCTTCAATTAATTACTCGATTCTAATGTGTTTTTTGAGTAGCTAAGATTAGAATTTTTTTTTAGATCAGTTTATTGGCAAAATCCGCATAATTTTGAAATAAAAGTTTTTTAAGAAATCAGATTGTGAAATAAAATTTACTTTAGGAGTAGCAACGGAAAAAAAATACCATACCGAAACTGATTAATAACGAAATTGAGTGTCTTCATATCAAAGAAGGACGTCATTTTCAGAAAGCCACTTTTGTTTTTAAAGGTTCAACTTAAACTGTTTCAGATGGTTTTATTTATGATTTTTCAAGTTGAATCATGTAAATAATTAGAATTGATTTAAATAGAAGTTTTCTTAAAAATTGGCTATTACTCAACTTTTTAAAAATTACAGATGTCCGATTCTGATATGATGCCACTCAATCAAGTAATTTTGAAAAAGTTAATATATACCACCTCTAATTTAACATTAGCAAAAATGGACGTTTTTAAGATGTTGTTTGACTATTCAATAATATCCAATATTTGTAATAACAAATATTTTCAAAACTCTATGGTTTGATTTTTGTGTAAAATAATAAATAATATGGAAAATAGTAAACATCAACTTAATATTACTTGCTAACTCTCTAGTCCATTTGATTTATCATACCACACATTCGGCAATAAAGAGATTGTGCTCACCGAAAAATAAAAAAAATCTTAGTTAATGAAATATTGAATTATGATTTAGAGTTTATTTTATACACCTCAGCTGTATCGATACCCATACCACCATTATCTCCAACCTCTAGTTTCTATGTCCTAAAACCTGGCCTCATCGATGAACTTATATGTACAATATAGGTCATCGATAAAATATATAAACGCTATTGGTCATTTCATTTAAGAGAATTTTCTTTTTTTCAGAAAACAGAAAAATGGCTGATGAGTCCTATGGAAAGGAATTGCCGGAAGAGGTGAATAAATTAGCCAAAGAGGATCTTCGAGAGGATGACTTGCTGAAGAAGCAATCCTTGGACAGGATGCGGGAATGGTTAGCCAAGAGTTCGGAAATAAAGTTTTGTAGAGACGGTAACCACATTTCCTTACATTAATAGATGATAATTGAGAACCATATGGCAATTATATGATGCATAACAATGTGTAATTTTAAGTGAACTTTTTTTTTTATAATGAAATTTGCAATCAAAAACTTTATTAATATCATATTGCAGATTATTAGGTAAACAAATAAAAATAAGAAATCACTAAAATCAATACAAACCTTTCCCCGGTGAGTTTCCTCAAAGGTGGGGAAAATTCGAGCAAAATTAGATTGTGGGAAAGAAGGCAAAAAAGAGTAAATATGAAACTTTTAAAACATGAAAAATGCATGCACATCAAAACATTAAAATAAAAATATTCAATTAATTAAATATGTTAAGATAAACAAATAAAAAAGCCCCTTCTAAATGCTTACAACATTTATTGAGATAAAAAAAATATATACAATAGTTAAAAACAAATAAACAATGGAAAAAGATTATTTAAATGCACTGAAATAAAATGAAACATAAAATATAATGTTCAGTGAGAATAAACCAAATTAACCTTTAATAACAATTATCAACCTCCAAAATTATAGGGAAAAAAATAAATGTCCATAAGAATAAAACTAATTTAGCCTAGTAAAATATTCAAGTAATTTACTGTCTTTCGTGACGGTGCAGAATAAAAAAACAAAAAAAACCGAGCCAAGTTGGAGGTTCTGCTTCCAACCAGGTTACCTTCTACGATGTTTAGCTGTCAAAGCAGTCGATGGTGGGGGAATCGATATGCATATTGTTCCTGATCGATGATTCGCGATGATACATACAGCTGGGATCTTCAAAATGGCGCAGGTGAGATGAGACGAAACGAGACGAGTCCGGAGCCAGTGAAAATGGTGGGGGTAAACGTCCAACACAAACATAAGACAGCTCCAGACTGATTTTCCAGCAGTATTATGACATTATTTCGATATCTTAAACCCCTAGACTGTGCATTGCTGCCGGGCTGGTGTGTATATACAACGCGATAATAAATCGCAAAATATATAAATACTATAAACTTAAATAAATTTTTGAGACAATTGTCCCTCAGCTATTTACTAAAAAAAATAAATAAAACTTTTATTATTAATAGTTAAAAAGGGGTGAATAATGAGAAAAAAAATATCTGAGCTTATGCGGTGTTATATATATACATACATATATATATATATATATATATATATATATATATATATATATATATATATATATATATATATATATATATATATATATATATATACATATACATATACATATACATATAGATAGATATATATGAAAAAAAAAATCTTTCGGGCCGAAGCCCTTTCAAAATTAAATCCTGGATCCGCTAGTGATTTAAGTAATTGAAAATTGTTTCATTATGAACTATATAACAGTTTCGTCAAATGAAAATAGAAATTGTCATAGTTAAAACCATTTAAAGAGGACTTGTGAGCGGCTAAACTTCTCTAAGTTCGGTTTTTAAAATAATCATAAATTATTGGCTATTTTTTTATCATTATCCAACTGTACTACAGAAAAACTTTTTTAACAAGCTTCAAGTTCATATTAATTAAATTGATGTTAATGAGGCAAATTTTTGAGATTCACCTAAAATTGAGTAAAGAAATGATATCAATTTATATTCAGTTTTAATAGTGCTCATGTTTTAAGTAAAAATGACTAGAATTAATAGTTGCAAAGCTTTCATTTATTGTTTTTTCATGATCTGCGATAATTTTAATAAACCTGCTTTCCTAACTACTCTTTGTATTTATAAATAAAATAAACAATAATAATAATAATGATTTTTTTAAATATTTTTCATATAAAGTATTTACGAAGTTTTTCTATAAGTGGGGTATCTGTGATACAGTTGGATAGGGATAAAAAAAATCGTCAATCATTTATGATTATTATAAAAACTGAAATTAGCCAAGTTTGGATGCTCAAAAGTCCTCTTTAAGTGGTTTTAACTATGAGAATCTCTAACTTCATTTGACGAAACTTTTATCTAGTTCATAATGAAACAATTGTCAATTACTTAAATTAAATATTTCTTTAGTTATCGCTTCATATATATTTTTCAAAAAGCTTGACTTACTTAAAAAAACACTAAACTTTGATTTCCTGCTGAGAATAGGCCCAGAACTTATATAAGAACTTTTTTGTAAACCTTGAGATCTGTCATCCTATAAAAATTTACCTCTAATTACGGGACACCCTCGATACTGACATTTTTCATTTTATTTATAACAAATTCCTCTTTTATTCACGTTTTTTCTCTTCTTTTGACAGAAAAATATGAATCATAAATACAAAGTTTATTAGTAATATCTTACTCATTTTACCAACATCTCCATATTTCCGTTGCCAAATATTAGTTTTTATTATATTATGATTATTGTTAAACGATATACAAATGTAATAATGTTTACAATATTCCCTCACTCACTCTGTTGACATTCAAAGTTTGGGGTCTCAAGTCGCTCTTACCAAGGTTAGATTAGCCTATAAGCTATATAAGCTAGTATTCAAAGCATCAAGGTACCATTTATTTAATTTCTTTACACTACAGAAATGCTACTGATTTTATATGCATGTTTTTTTTTCTATTTTTCACTAACAATGTAACAAAGAGCTAGTAAATTGGTGACTAGTCGTACCGTTCTTGGCTTTATTTAAGGACCTTTACCACTGCTGTCACAGTAGGTAGTTTAAAAAGTCGTCTCAATTTGTTATATCACATTCGCCATAGCCGTTGAATCATTCTTGTTCAGTCCTGACATTTCCTTCATTACCTAACTTAATCTCAAAGGACCATATGCGGAATTCTAAGATACTTTGTTCTAAAGATCTTATTTCTCAAACATAAAAACTTAAGACATGTTCATGACTCATACAAAACTCTGTTTGAGGTAAGAACATAGCCTTAAAATTACCGGACTTCAGAAAGTTATCCTTATATGGCTTTCCAATAAATAAATTTCAACTTTCCTATATATTTCAATAAATCCCATCAAATCACCTTTACCCTATGTCCTCCTGTCCTACATTATCCTTTAATAATACCCCACTTATCCCGGTTGAAAAATCAGATACCTTGGACTCCACTTAGACAAACGTTTAACTTGGAATCCTCATACCAGACTGAAACGACAAGACACCGCTCGACGTTTCCGACTGCTCCAGAACTTAGTAGACAAACGCTCTTAGCTTCCAGCTAATTACAAAAGACTCATATATATGACTACAATAAGACCTGTTTGGACTTTCGTAGTTGAGCTCTGGGGTTTCACTAAGTCATCGAATTTCTCTCGTATCCAATCCTTACAATTCAAAATCCTTCGTAAAATCCTCACTGCTCCTTACTTTGTCACAAATAAAATCATCCATGACGACCTTTATGTTCCTTATGTTTCTGACCTGGCCCAATCCAGATACCTATCCTTCCATAACAAACTTCAGAAACATTCAAACCCTCTCGTTTCTAACCTCGCTTCCTCTTCGATCCCTGACAACCCTCCGAGGCGTCTGAAAAGAAGATGGCCTCGAGATCTCCTTTTGTGAATACATTTAAATTCTACCAGTGGGTAGTTTCTCAACAAGTGGTTTCATGTTATTATATTCTTTTGTTCACATTTGCTGAATGTATTTTTATTTGTAATTCATTTGTAAGTATTATAAATAAAAAATTAAAAACTTACTATCTTGAATATTTTTTAAATAAGATGATAATTAATTTCGGATTTGTTTAGCACATGTGAACTTATATTTAATATTCTCTAAATTTATATTAGTTTGTTGTTATCTTGCAGATGCTCCGTTCTTATTGCGTTTCCTTCGCAGTCGCAAATACAGTATACCCCAAGCACAAGAAATGCTAGAAAGATATCTCGCCATCCGTCAACTTTATGGAGAATGGTTTCAACAGTTAGATCCAGTAGATCCCAAAATGTCAGCACTCATAGACTCGGGGTAAATCATCTTTCTGCAGATATATTGAACCTACCTACTTCTAAAAATTACCTATACATCTTATGCCTATCAGATATTGCTTCCCGTTGATTGAAAAAGACGAGTTTGGACGCAGAGTAATCTTCACGGCGGTAGGAAACTTCAAAGCGACAGAGTTTACAGCTGCGGATATGGTCAGATACCATGCAATGGTAATAGAGAGTCTCCTGGATGAGGAAGAGTCACAAGTAACTGGTAACTGATTCATTATTTATCCAAAAACGTGTGTGCTTGTATGTCTAATATATTAAAATTGAAAATCAGACCCATTGAACTCTACTGACTCACTTTAACCTTGGTACCAATGGTGTCATTTCTCTTGGCTGTACATTCCTATAACATTTTATACTGTATTTGAAAATATAATATGATGGAACCAACCATAGAAAGATGTTTAATTCAATTAAAAGTTTATTACTAACAAATAGGCCGATATTTTAGGGTACACCCAGATCTATGATGAGAATGGTTTAAGCATGGCCCATTTAGCAATTTGGTCCCTTACAGACATTAGAAATATCATAAGGTGTATACAGGTGAGGTTTATAATTTTATTTTTGGTTTTTATTACATAACTAATTATATCTGGATATTATTGATAAGTAGTTGCTCTCCATTTCTCTAACTCATTCTCTCTAATTACAGAACTCCCTTCCGATGCGCCACAAGAGTTCACACTTCCTTAGCCTCCCCTCTTCGGCAAACACTATATTCGAATTTTTTACATCACTACTCAATGAGAAATTGAAAAAGCGAATTATGGTGAGTGAAATCAAACATGAAATCCTTTATATATATATGAATACATGATTTGTATATATACTTAAATATTAGCTCCATAGATGGAAGGTAAAAGGTGAATATGTTTATTGATATTTTATACAGTACCGTAAGATGGAGTAACTTTGGGACTGGGTGGGTAACTTTGGGACAGCGGGTAAAATTTAGTTTGAGGTGATTCCGCGGTGGATACACTGTGTTGGTTCAGTCTGCATAAACGTGCTTTATGCTGGCATGTACTGCGCTACTACCTCGGGGTAATTTGAGACCCTTAGTTCACTACACTCGTTAAGCTGATAGGTTTTATTTATTTCTACTGATTTTATCTAAATTCTTGTTTTCATGAAACTTTCGCTTGTGCTTCAAGAATAGTGTGCCACAAGGTAGTAGCGCAAGTACATGCGCTGACCATGTTGACTGAACCAACACAGTGTATTCACCCCGGAATCATCACGAACTAAATTTTATTTCCCGCTTTCCCAAAGTTACCCACCCAGCCCCAAAGTTACCCCACCTTACGGTGAACCAACATCCATGTTTAATCCTTCAAGATTATGATGACGAAAACGAAAGTCAGCTAATGTTAATAGATTTAAATAATGCTAAGGCAACCGAATCGATGTCTTGCGGCGTCGAACATTGGAGAGGGGAGGGGGATCTGATATGCCTGAATTGATAACATTATTATAAACATTTAAATACTCTAAGCTATTGACAAATTACTTGAGAATACAAAGAAATTAGTTGTAATAATAATAGTTTTCCGATATCACTATAGATAAAATCTATTAGTTAATAATGTTAATTAAATTTAACAAATAAATATCACTATTAGCGTATGGGAATGCTGATTTGACGGATTTGATTGTTTCTTTAAGGATCGTAGTCGGAATGTTTGAACTGTAGTTTTCAGACCTTTTTGAAGTCAGCAAATGTTAATAGATTTAAATAACGCTAAGGCAACCGATGCGATGTCTTGCGGCGTCGAACATTGGAGAGGGGAGGGGGATCTGATATGCCTGAATTGACAACATTATTATAAACATTTAAATACTCTAAGCTATTGACAAATTTCAAAAAACTAAAACTAAATAAACTTTTTTTTGGTATTAATCATTTTATTAAGGTATAATACATTTTACCAACACTTAAGGGTACAGAGTATTAAAGCTGTAAGGCACATTCATACCATATTTACAACATAATAAAAATTAAATACATAAAAATTGATATATAAAAGATAATAATATATATATAACAAAAATAAAAACAAAGAAATATAGCTTATAGTTAAATAATACTGAAAATTCTTTAGGAAAAAAAAATAGTAAATTAATGATTAATCATTAAAGATAATAAATTATTAGAATTGAGTAAATAGAAAAAACAAACAAACATAAACAAAACTAACAGTCATACTTATATACAATCTAAATAAACTCGTCATCAAAAATAGGAATAGTTAAAAACACCAGTGAGGTAAATTTTTTCAAGTCACTCACATGGAAGTCGTTAATTTAAATGTATTTGTAATTAAATCGCCAACAATAACGGAAAAAGTCTTCGAATGAAACATGTGGAGTAATAATTCTTCTTTAAAATCCAATAATTATTATTTTAAATGTATAAATTAATTCCTTAGAAAGTGTAAATAATCAACGGAGAAGCGGTTGTTACTTGATTGTTGCAAAACCAGAAATAAAGGGCGTTTTTGAGAATAAAAATTAATGAAAAATAGTTAATAATACTAGAGAATTTTAGTTACTATATGTAAAGGATTGGTAGAACTAATATATTCTATCTTATTCTTTAGCATTTAACTTTTCCAATTTTTCATTTGGGGTTTAGTTAGGTTTCTCCATTGCGAAAAATGATAGTAATATCTCTATAGCATATAGTGGTAACATTTTTTAAAAGTTCATTAAATCACCGAGAAAACTATAAAGTAATCGTCTAAATAGGACCAGTTTTAGCGGCGTTACAGTGTATTGAATTTTATACACTGATTTTAATAACTGTTCACTTGTCCGTTTACATTGTTTTCTTTCATCAATCGTACTCTAATGATTTCTCTGACCAGTTATCAGGAAAATTAGTCTGATTCAACAGTGTTATTTTTAAGGAACATATTTAAAATTGAAAAAAAAAATTGTTTGAAATCGGTAGGAAAGTCATGTGACTGGACACACCAGATTTTTTATTTAAATAATTAGTGACATTGTATGGATTTTCTTTTCTCTACGATTTTTCTATTCCAAGATAGAGATCTATCAATATCTTTCTTGATAATATTTGTAATAATTTATAATAATCGCAATAACTGGGCAGCTTAATCACTTCCCTCTACACAGCTCTAACAGTTCTTTTCTGTACTTTCCCATACAGTGCTTCCCAGAATATGTTTCAAGCAAAGACACTTAAGACTTGGACCCACTTAAGACGTAACCGATTAATATTTAGCAACTATTTCAAAGCACTTGTGGTTCTGATAATTACATCATTACTTGGGAATAAAAAGAAATTACTTGTAATAATAATAGTTTTCCGATATCGCTATAGATAAAATATATTAGTTAATAATGTTAATTAAATTTAACAAATAAATATCACTATTGGCGCATGGGAATGCTGATTTGACGGATTTGATTGTTTCTTAAAGGATCGTAGTCGGAATGTTTGAACTGTAGTTTTCAGACCTTTTTCATACCCAAGTAACACCATGCGGGCTTTTATTATTTATATGACTGTAAATAACTATAAACATTTTATAAGTATCATATTAATAAAAAAAAACTTATATCACCACAACCTATGAAGGGTCTTGAGTTCAGAGATTGGCAAATGCTATTCTGAGTACTGAATACCAAGTATTTTACTCAAATATTGACAACATTCATTTTGATTAGGTCTCACATGTTAAAAAATTCTCTATTTCTAATGTTTTTTATTTATTTTGTTTTTGTAAATATTATTAATATAAAAGGTTTTTTTTCCGAACTGAAAACATTGGACGTGAGCATTCTTTTAGAAATATTATTTTTATTTATTTTTTTACTGCTCCCTATCTTACCATTTCTGGAATACGGAGGGGAGGGGGATTATTTTAGAGGTACAACCGAACCTATTCTAACCAGAGTGTGAAGCTAGAGATTAATTACGTGGGTCTCCCACGAAGTAAGTTTCAATCTGTCCGGATTCGATCCTGCGTCGATAGACTCTATAATGTTAAATTTACTTTAAGTACACTTCAACACGCAAACGTTAAAGTTTATGCTATCACGACCTCAGCTTAAAAAGATTATCTAAGAACTGATAACCTATAGACAATGACATGCTTGCAATTCCAATTACAACCTTCTTCATTACAATCACTCACCTAATATTCAATATCTGTATAAGGACAACAAAATAAAAATTAGCATAGTAAGTCAATTGACCTTTAGATCGGGAATACATCAGCCTCGGTTTTTAGGCTGTAAAATCTCTCAAAGTGTCCGGATTTCGTGGAAATCGCAGGTATTCGTTTATTTAACCCTCATTGTCCATCTGATATCTTCTCATCTGCCTCTGACCCTTACAACACCCAGTACGTTTTCAAATTTCTTGGAAAACTGTTGTTTTGCGCTGCGCGGCCAATCGTGTTATATTTAAATTTTTCTTGGATATTTTTGGCGTTTATGGCTGCAGTGAAGTTTTTAAAATGACATGTGAAGAAGTGTGGAAAGAAAAATAACATAAACACTAGGAAAACATGTTGCAATTGTGAAAATACATCTTGTAATTGAGTCCGTGTGCATTTCGTGTTATCGGCAAGACGAATCTGATTACGATTTATTTGAATAAGTGATTAATTTGTTACTTTTAATTTTTTACATTTTTCTCAAACCAAACTTTTATTTTATTTTATCAAGTATAAATAACTTATATTTGTTTTTTTTATCGTCAAATGTAACCTATTAAATTAAAATCCATACACTTATTGCTATATTTCTTTCTTTCTTTAATTTAATATTCCCTGCCTTACATTGAATATACAAGAAATAAAAAAGCAAACATGTTGTTTCCATATCATGAAATTAAGATACTTAAAAAAAAAAACACGCATTGGAAAACACATATAAGTCAACTTTATGACCAATAGTAAATATTGTAAGATGTTTGTTTCATATTATGTTTACTATAGTATATTTTATTATTTCTTATAAATAATGTTTATATTCTTGTTGTTATAACTTTTTTTTTAATGAATGTTAATACGTTGGAACAATCATTACTGCTCCTGAAATTTCTAAGGATAAAACAATTTTTTTAAATCAATGTACAGTAGACTCCTGGTTATCCGTCCTCGCTGGGACTGAGACATCGCCGGTTAATAAGGAGGGTATAAAATAAAAAAAAACTCCAATATTATTTTAACTTCTTAATTGCGGAAAGATCAAAATTTAACACACACAACTTAAATAGACAATAAACAAACTCAATAAAGGTTATATACCTATCAGTTCAAGAAGATAACATTTTTTGGCCAATTCAATTTAACTATTTAAAAAAATTTCTACTAACGATCTTGTCAGATTTTCACTAAATTAGTTATTTTGTTTGTTATTTGTTATTTTATTTTGTTTATTTTATTTTATTTATTGTTTATTTTATTTTGTTATTTTGTTTGTTTCACCGAATAGTCTCCTCACGTTTTTTTAAAAAAGAGAGTATCTAACCAACGCTATAGCTTCTACCGCCGGTAATCCGGAGGGCTGATTTAGTGGGAAGCGGTTAAGCGGGAGTCTGCTGTATATATTAATGTCTTTATGTAAATTTATGAAATCTGTATTGATCTGTTCACAAAATCAAATTTAGATTCACAAATCCGTCGAAGATCTACATCAGCATATCAAGAAGGAAATTCTACCCAAAGAATATGGTGGTACCGTAAGCATCTCAGACATGACAAGTAAGCGATCTTTAGTATAATTCAAACTAACTAAATTATTATTAAAAAAAGAATTAAAAAAAAAAAATTATTTTCAGAAAAATTCAGGCAGGATTTAATGGAGAAAAGACAAAAACTTATCGATTTGGACAAACTAGAAATTGATTTGTCGAAGAAAGAAAAACTGGTTCAGGATTTTCACGATGATATGGCAGGCATAGCAGGATCATTCAGGCAACTGCAAGTGGATTGATTGATCTAAGCTACATATTTAAATACATAATTATCTGTGGTCATGTGCTTGCATTCATTATATGCATGGGTGAGTGTGTATGTGTAAATGACCACGATGAAAGTTTCATGGTTGTCGGGTCCTAATAACATCACCATGATGTTTTTTCCAAAGATATGTCACATAGCTAATTATTGTAAGTTGCATTGTTAGTGATATTATAATTATTACTTGATTAAATTATTACCGTAATGTAATAACAATGATAAATAATATTCAACTTTTTTAAGTACTTCTGATGTTATCTTTACGGTAGTTTAATTTAATTCAAAATCTACATCTTATTTAAACATTTTTTTATAAATAAAACATCCATTTATAGAATCCCTGTTGTTGTTTTTTTTTAAATTCCTTAAATGAAATGAATTTATCCAGTTCCTTTGAACACGTTATGCAAACAAATGAATAATTTTAAATACATATCAAATATCCTAGGGAGTGGAGTTGCTCAGTGGTAGGGTACTCGGTATATTCCAATGCAAAGGTCCCAGGTTCGAACCCCGGCTCATGGCAGAAAATTTATTTATCTGTTTCATTGACCGTGGGGCGACCCTGGATCGGTAGACCCTACTGGGGCACACCCAGCCTCTATAAAGTGGGTACCCTTAATTAAATAATTAATTAAGGGGGAAAACCTGGCGGTTGAGCGTGATCTCGGTCAAATCACCTCCTTGCACAACCGTAGACCAAGAAACAGTGCTTTCCCTAAATAGTACTGAACCCAAGACCCTTCATGTGTTGTAATGGTACAGCTTTTATTTTTTTATATATATTTTTTTTTATCAAATATCCTGCTGCTTAGCTTAAATGATTTGGATTGGTTTCCAATACAGATGAAGAAAGAGATCTCTTATAAGTGGATCCGAGGATATAGAAGTACCTTCTTCTCGATATAAAAATAGTCTAGGGTCATCTCAAGGCATTGGGAGAAAGATAATCTATACTATGATCAATAGTAGTTAGACATAACTTTGCAGGACCTATCTAGTGATGGAACCAGAGTGGTGATTTTTGCATTATCCCATAATATGGTTGTGGTGAATACCATGTTTACTACTTACAAACTCATGTTTCCTCAAACAAAATTCCAGTAACCAGAATGACCACATTCTTATTAGTAGGAGAAACCAGAGATGTCCAGAAGGGGATTTTATGGCGCAAGTTGGCGCCACCAAAATTAATGAGGGAGACACTTTTTAACTGTGTTTTCAATTTTTGAGGAGGGCACATTTCGACGGGGTAATGAGTTTTCAAAATGAAAAGTTTCAAATCAAGAGACCAGTCGAATCATGGAACAGACCACAGGATATGTAATTGTATATAATCTAAGAATATTCAAATTCTACTTTCCTACAAGACAACAATGCTGTTTTTTGGGAAATCAGGATATAGAAAGGTGAAAAAGTGGACAGCGTTCATTATTTATTAATTTAAAGGATACAGGCTAAAATAAGAAACGTTTGAAAGAGAGAGGATAAACCTTCAGAAGCTAGAGTTTAGAAAAAATGATTGCTCAAACCCTGCATCTTCTTGACACATTCATTTACACCGACAATATTTTTATTCGCCCAGGGAATTCCGAGCCAAGCTTTGTCCTCCAAATGTTAAAGGTAAAGCAGGACTCCAGGAGATCTCAGTGCCTCTTTTCCAGCCGCATAACTGGTAAGCAAATGGAGACTGACGGAGGGTACTAGAGCCACAGACGCTCAGGACTTGAGTGGAGAAGCTGGCCATATCCAGGACTCCAGTAGCATATTCACAAGAGATCTCGGGGAGATCAAGGATTAGAGTACTGTTTTATCGGAAATACTTTTGGTGGAAAATAATACCATTTTAAGGCGACAATCAAGCAAGTAGCTGAAGAAGTACTGGGATTAGATGGTTTAACTTTGTATAATAATAATTACAGCTGTAAAAATCATATATACATATATATATATTGTATTGCTGTACTGGAGGTTTCTTGGCGTTATTTGGATTATATATTGGGGCGTAATCCAAAGCCAAGTAATTGTTCAGCTGAGTTGCTAATTAACACAGAATACTTATTAATCTAATAGATAATATAGAATACAAAAAATTAGAGCTTGAAATAAAAAGTTGATATATATGATGAATATTTTCACTACCATATAATCATATTTATTTTCTTTTGTTTTACGTTTCGGGCTATTCAGCAATCATCAGAGACAATTTAAAACTGGTTGAAACAACATAACATTTATTACAATACAAATAATTTGCTATATTAAAAGTTTTATTTTATTTTTAATCAGTTTTCGAATGAGTGAAACTATTATATTTCATTGTTGTTGTGTTTGAAAACTAGAACTTTTTCTCATGGAAATTTTCAATTAAAAGTTTTACAAAACTTATATTTCTTCAAAACATTTACTTAAAAGTTCTGTCTTTCTCTACCTCCTAGTTTATATACATATGTTATTGTCTGATTTTCTATACTTCATTAAATGAACATAAAACCCTTTTCTCTTACTTTCTATTTTACTCTCTTACTATGTAAATGAGGGAAAGGGAATGGAGCGAAATAGATTTTCAAAGTAAAATAGCAGGGTAGTAAAATTATGTTTTATTATAATAAAAGTTATAAAGTAAAATCACGTTTATCTTTTTATTGAATAAGCTTAATCTTAAAAATGTTATTGTTTCTTGTTGAATTACTGTGAAGTAACAACCTTTTAAACCTACAAATGACAAATTCTCATGCTTGGGTTTGATTTTTTAATAAAACTAAGAGAAAGATGTTAATAGTTACGGCAAAAGTAATTAAATTCAGTATCATTAGCGAGACCAAGATTACATATTTCAAATGCCAAGTTATGAAACAAGAATCTTCACAGTTGAAAGACAATCAAGTACTTAAATTTTAATAATGCTACAGTGATATATGAACGCATAGATTAAAACTCAGGTTAGAGGGCAAGTGAAAATGAGATAATTAAAGCATTGAGTTCCTATTCGGCCATCAAGAAATGGGCGAGTTTGTGAATGTTCTTACCAAGGGTGCCCCTCCCCCCTCCCCCTACCAAGCTCGATGGTGTATGAACCTTCCCCCACCCCTTCCAAGATGTTTTATTGCTAACATCCTCTTAAAAACAGTGTAAACAAAAGTATAATTTAAATATTCGTAGATTATATACAATTACACATTCTGCAATGTTTTCTATGCTTCTATTTGTCTTTTGATTTGAAACTTTTCAATTCGAAAATTCATAACCCCGTCGAAATATGTCCCCTAAAAAATTCAAAACCTCGTCAAAATGTGCTCCCCTCAAACATGTTGATGGCGCCACTTGTGCCATGAAACCCCCTTGTGGGAATCATACAAGCAACAATACGTACTTCCGTTCGTGACTAGAAATGTTTAATATATATATATATATATATATATAATATATATATATATATATATATATATATATATATATATATATATTTATAAGCCTAATTGTTGATATATCATAAATTTTCCTAGTTTCGGAGAACAGCTCGGAAATGTCTATGCAACACCACCTGTGCTCGCTGGCATGATAGTATGTATATATGTAATTAGCTAATATCTTGGAGATAAAAAAATACAGTTGTTTCTTATTTCATATATATGGAAGGCTCAACAAGGTTTATAGGTATTTTAGCATTTATTGTGGAAAAAAGAAGTCACTTATTGTAGATACTAGTTATAGCAACGAGTATACTAGTATCCTAGGGATAGTATCCATACTTGTACCACGGGCGGATCTACGGGGAGAGCTTTCGGGCTGAAGCCCCCCCTCCTCCAAAAAAAAATGATAAAATATAACCATGTTTTATGGAAAAAAATATAAAAAAATTATCTCTTAAAGTATTATTGTTCGTATAATTACATTTAAAAGGACTTAAGGAATCACTTAAAAACCATTTCATATAGATAGTTAGTTTCTTTCTTTTTTTCCAAAGTAATTATCGTCATTTTTATTTTAAAAAAGCATTCGGGCTGAAGTCCCCCCCCAAAAAATTTAATCCTGGATCCGCTAGTGATTAGTACTAATAATCTTACTTACTAGATTAATAAGGTTTGAAACGAATGATCAGTATTGGGCTATTCAGATCCAGGCTGTGAATGAGTGTGAATAAAATACATTCCGTACTTACCGGAAAAAAGTAATTTTGTGCCAAAAATGGTGTAATGTACAAAATTAAGTGTATGTCATCTCCAAGTGTGTGAAACATTTCAAAACTTAAAAAAACGGATAAACAGCATAGAGCAAATATTTATAAAAACAATAGCATCAAATCATAATGCACTATGATTTATTCTAATAGATAATCATAAATTTGATTTTGACAATGTAAAAATACTAAATAGTGAAGAAAACAATTGAATAGGAAAAACAATAGCATGTATATATACAGGGTGTCTCAGTTCTAAATGGCTAAACACTGGAAGGGGGGGGGGCTAATTTTAGACAAAATTCCATCTCAAAAGTTCATTTGATGCATGGGCCAATTCCGAACGGAAAACGAGTTAAGACCAATTATGTCTTTTTCTTCATGTGGTCACGTTTTTAATTAAATAAGAAGTTAAGATTAAATTCTTAAATAATAGTGATAAAATTTACCAAGGTCAATGATGAAAGGGATTTTCAGGAGGTCTAACACGGCCGCTGCGTAGAGCATGCTGCTCGTGTATGTACTGTGGTACTTTAGCAATACAGAGGCCATAAAGTCCCGTTTATCATTGACCTTATTAAACTTAATCACGGCTTCCTTTAAAAAATAAACATGTATCAACTTTACGATGGTGTACTTTGAATTAAATTATCTTGAACAGTTTTTGAACAATTCCTTCTATTCAATAAAAACCGCTTCTTCCTTAAAAAACATTGGCTAACATTATGAGCACATTTCTAATAAAATTAACATTTAATTCTTGATTCATCTTAGGAAAATATAAATATTAGACAATAACAGTACAGACCTACATTTTTAAGTATCACTGGTTTACATTACAGTCCGCTTTCAACAATGAATGGGAAAGATTGCTCGACATAATAAGTTATATATTAAATATAATAAATAATACCAAACTATGATAATATTAGGTTTTACATATAAAATACTCCCTCACACTGCTCCGAAATAGTAGAGGAAATGATGAACAAGGAGGGACATATTGTACTCACATAATAAATATAAATGTTACACTTATTTATTGGACATGCGTTTTACTAAATAAAGAAAAATGTATCATGACAAAACTGTATTTTATTTTTAGACTACCAGAGAAGTACTGTAATAGTAAAAGATGATAAAGTAAGAAAAGGTTATATGAAGATATTTAGGTATCTTGTTATATCACATGTTTTAGTTTATGTACTGGACAAACGTCTAACTTGGAATCCTCATACCAGACTAAAACGGCAAGAAACCCCTCGACGTTTCCGACTACTTCAGCACTTACTAGACAAACGCTTTAACCTTTTTAATCAATTACAATAGACTCATATACATGGCTAAAATAAGGCCTATTTGGACTTACGGAGTTGTGGAGCTATGGGGCTCCACCAAACCTTCAAATTCCTCTCGTATCCAATCCTTACAGTCCAAAATCCTTCGTATAATCCTCAATGCTCCTTACCTTGTTACGAATTAAATCATCCACAATGACCTTAATGTTTCTTATGTTTCAGATTTGGCCCAATCTAGATATCTATCCTTCCATGATAAACTTCATAACCATCCCAACCCTCTTGTTTCTAACCTTGCTTTCTATTCAATTCCTGGTAACCTTCCGAGGCGTCTGAAAAGAAGATGGCCCCGTGATCTCCTAATATAGACATATTATTATAGTGTTACCAGTGGGTGGTTTCTCAACATGTGTTTCATGTCATTATACCCATGTACGAATTTACTAGATTTATTTTTTATATAATTGTAAATATCATAATAAATAATAATAAAAAAAATAGATTAGATTTAATTTTGTTATGAGCATTTATCATTATTATCTAGTAATGTATATTCTAACTTTTATCTATAGATAATGTCGTTTTTATGATATTTAAATTAATGCATATTAGTAATTAATTAATGCATAAAAAATAGATTAGATTTAATTTTGTTATGAGCATTTATCATTATTATCTAGTAATGTATATTCTAACTTTTATCTATAGATAATGTCGTTTTTATGATATTTAAATTAATGCATATTTGAAGCGAAAAGCTTCTTTGGAAAACACTTTATGATAAAATTTCACAATTTTATTACATTACACGGTTACACAGTTTTAAAATTTCAACATGATTTGACAGGTAACAACATCTCACTTCAGATAAAAAAATTAAGGTGTTTATTGATCGGTTAAATTCTCTTCAAGTGAACTATAAAATTGTTGTCAGTTTTGACCACCGGGAATCTACGGGGGGGGGGGGAGAGCTTGAGGTACTTTCGGGCTGAAACCATTCCCCCCACCAAAATGGTAAAATGTAACCATGCTTTATGGAAAAAAATATCTCTTAAAGTATTATTGTTCGTGTAATTACATTTAATAGGACTTCAAGAATCACTTAAACACCATTTCTTAGAGTTAGTTAGCTTCTTTCTTTTTCTTCCAAAGTAATTATCGTTATATTTGAAGCCCTCCCCAGAATGAAATTCTGGATCCGCTAATGGTTTTGACTATGGGTCTACAGTCATTCGTCCTACGTAAACTAAAGCGGCTTAGAGGTAAATTTAGTGAAAATCCTATTCATTAATCTCTTTTTTGATTGAAAATTTGAAAAACTTACCATCAGTTATTCCACCAACTTACACAATATGATAAGCTTGATGAGGATTAAACATCAACCTACTTTCGATTAAATTTCCTGTCAAAATTTCTTACTGACGATAGGGACGGTAAGTTCTTTATTTCTGAATGGTAAATCCCTTTAGGTCCTATTAAGTGAATACTTATATTATTATGTTTATTCTCTATCCCTATTATATGCAACACACTAACAATAAGATCTACTACATATTTCAAGTTTTTTTTAAATTTATTTATTTATTCGGATATATTAAAAATAATAATAATATTAATTAAATACATTTATGATGGCACAACTGAACATTGATGGTACATTGATTTAGTGCAAATCTGCTCAGTATAGTGTTATCACGTGGTTTCTAAAGAAAAAAATGTTTGAATATTTCATTTGTTAACAGTTATCTTTTGTATCATTAAAAGCAGATAAGGTTCATGACTTAAAAAAAATGTATAAAATAATGAACAGTAAAATATGAAAAATTCCTGCTACTAATGGAGATATTTTAGCCATCTGAAGAATCTATTCACTAATATTATATCTTCCTGTTTAATGTTGTTATTTTTTAATATCTTCATCATTTTAATTTGAAACTTTGATTTCAATATTTTTTTTTTTCGTTTTGGTTTCTCGTTTAATTTTATCTATTTTGTTTTAGCTGTTTCGAAAATGATGTAAAGGAAATAAATTATTCTTGGTATTTAAAATAAACTAATAAGAGTCAAAGCCATTAGTTCACGATGAAAAAATGAAATCATTAAACATTTTAAGAAATAAATCGGGAGCTATACAAGTCCAATTTTTATTCTAAAATGGTAATAACATTAATATTCAGTAAAAAAAATATACATTCTTGAAGTTTGTATATATATCTCGCATATTTATTATTTTTTGGCACATTTAGCACTCCAAAATTTACATCTATAAGAATTGACATCAAACTTGAAGAAAAAAATCCACCAACATGATTTGTTCTTCCAATTACCTTCATTATCGCATTCGAAATAATGGCTACACCTTTCATAGTCAGGCTTGCGTTGGCCGGGCGAACATTTGAAAGGAGGTGCTGTAGAGGTAGTTGTAGGTGTAGTTATGCCTGTTGTAGGAGTTATCGTTGTTGTTGTTGTTGTTGTTGTAGTTGTTGTTGTTGTTGTGGTTGTGGTTGTTGTTGTATTTTCATCACTGCAAGGCTTATCCCAAACAAAAACGCATTTCTCACGATTTTCATCAAAATTTTGGCAATGACTGCACTGCTTATCAACGAAAACTCCTCCTCTGCATTCTTGGTATTTCTTACAGGAACCATTAACTCCTTTTTTTTCACCATCTTTGCACGCACTTCCATGGCTTTCGCAGAATCCTGGCGTGCACTTGGATAGAATTTCATCAAAGTAGTATCCACTTTCGCAATAGACATGATCCCCGTTGATTATATATTCCCTACAACTAAGGAAGGTAAGCTGGCAAGTTCCTTCTGAACATTGTCCTTCTTTGACTGTCTCGCCTTTCTTACATTCCACTTGCGTCCAAGCCCCTGAAATGCACTGGGAATAATGATTACAGCCCAAGGTTTTCGTCTGACCGTCGCTACATTGTGCACTGAGGTCGTGCTTGCACAAGTCCCTGTAAGAAAAATAAAACAAAATAATGTAATAACATACTATATTAATGTAACTATTAAAAGAAAAAGAATATGTTGATCTTAAGTAAAAGGTCATTTGATTACCAATTTCTATATTTATTATATACTTCTATGTTCTATGTTAAAACTAGAACCATTATCAAATATTTTTTAGTAATTCTTTGGCATCCCGCATACCAATATATTTCCTAATCCTAAAAAAAAAAACTCAAAAACGTCATATTTCAAAAATACGAGGAAAAAACTCTAGGATCTCCCTATGTGAACCTAAAAAGGTGAATGTAGATAAAACCATTTTTTTTTTTTTTTCGAATCATATGACGTATTTTTTATTTCATCAAAACCTATAAAACTCGAAAATTCCTTATGTTTCAAGAATGTTATATATTTCGTAGAGTTATATAATTTAGTACTCAAATTTATTTGTGATATTATAATATAAATAAAATACATTTGGGTCGGGAAGGGAAGGGTCAATGGACCAAAAAAAATATGTTGCATAGTTTATGAGATTTACGAGCTCAATATTCGCTAATTTTGAAAAAAAAAAAAAAGTTTTGCCAAACGTTTATATTTTTAATATTAACCAACTCTTTATCTCTCTTCATTCTACGAAAAGTCAATAAGAAAAAAAAACTGTTGACCGTTAAATTTTCTTTCAGTAAAAATATTATTTCACTATTTTAGCTTCAAAATTTGAAACAATTATAATTATTCAGTAAATTCAGAAATTTTGAAGAAAAACTTAACTTTCGTATGTTAGTTTTAATTTTGATAAAAGTTTAAATTGAAGAGTTTATGGAGCGACCTTCCATCCTAAAAAACTCATCCATCTATCAGTATTACTACTGTACAAACGTAATATTAGATGTAAAAGTGTCAGTTAGTTAAATATAAAATATATTAACAAAACAATTTCGAGGCGTTTATTAAAAATGTTATTCACATTTGTTATTGGTTGTTCACTTTGGAGTAGCTACAGGTTTGCAGGCGAATTTACGGTTTATATAAGAACCAACTGTACACTTTATCAGCAGAGATTAATTGATTTATTTAATAGGGATACCTCACCCGAAAAAAAGTTTTAAGGTCACTCATCAAAACTGCGTTTTTTACACCACTTGAAGTAAAGAACTTATCGCACTTATTGGAATGATGAGTTATAACATAGCTGAGCAGGTGCACAGTTTTATTGTACCTATCTCTCACGAGTTCTAAGTATTTTATCACGTATCGTCATCGTAAGGAGTAAGAAATAGACTTCCAAAAGTAGTTCTGTTGAACTCCCAGGGTCGAGAATAGTATTCAAAATTACTAAACAATATTACTGCAAATGTACCTGAAAAACTGCGAGCATACTTGCGAAACGTCGGAAAATATTAAATAAATTGTTAAACTATAAGGGCTTTTATATATATATAACTTCTAAGAAAGTATCAAAAAGCATATATATATATATATATATATATATATATATATATATATATATATATATATATATATATATACATATATATATATATATTTTTTTTTTTTAAATTAGCAAATATTGACAATGGATAACTCGGAAATAATGAGGGATTGCAAAAAAAATAAATATTAGAAATATTGTTTCACATTTTATCTGCTTATTTTATTTTTAATAAGACGGGTTTATCGGTTGTAAGCATAATTCTTCAGAAATAAACGGCAAACCAAAAAAAAAAAATGACCTTCTGGCCCTCCCTCTTTCCCCACATATCGTATACCAGGGGTGCCCATCCCCCCACCCCCCTCAAGGATGGCGCATGAATCTCCCCCTTTCCATTTCCCCAAGATATTTTATTGCTCTCATCTTCTTAAAAGGACGAGCTAAAGTAGAATTTTATAAATAATAAGTCATGTACAATGATAATTTCGGTGGTCTGTTCTTTGCTTTCCTCTTGTTCACTGGTTTGATAATTTCGAAAATTCATAACCACGTCGAAATGTGCCCTCCCCCCCTCAAAAATTCAAACCCGCGTTAAAATGTGCCCCTCCACAAAAATAAAGTTTGCGAACATGCGCCATAAAACCCCCTTCTGGGCTACCCCTGTCGCACACCACTTAGGAATGGGGACTTTTATGTATTTTTACTCCTTTACTTGTCCGAATAAAGTCCCAAAGGTAAAAATTGTGTTCCTCGCCATTCCCTTTAAAATCCCTCTTTGTGCACTCATTGACTGAACTGATAAGCAAATAAACCACTTTCTGGCATTATTCTCATCACTAAATATTGTTTAATAAATATTTTGGTAGGTTTTACATTACCAGCCCCGAAAAAAAACAACCTATTATCATTACCGTCACATCAAATAATTTGAAGTTTCTAATTTTAGTTCGAATTTGGTAGTTCAACTCAAAACCGTTCTGTACACCATTGATTGATTGGTTTTCAGGCATTCGTGAATTCAGCAAGGACTCACTGTATCTCTTTTTTGAAGGATTATTCTTGACATTCTTTTTTTTTTTTTTTTTTTTTCTTTTTTTATAGTCATTCGTATACAGACTCTGGGGAAGAAAATATTGCGTGATTTCTTCTGTTCGTACGAACAACTTTATTATGCGCAAAAATATAATAAAGTACCAAACCATATATGATAAATTGTATTTATGCCTACATGTACATTCTTTTTTTTTAGCATTTTACCTTTTATAATATTTGGTTGAGGAATAAGTAATTTTGTTTTATCCCAATAGGTGACTTAAAAGTCTCTTATCTTTTGTAATCCTTATTTAACGAAGCCATTCTATCCGCGTTTGAGAGGTCAAAATCCATAAAACATTCTATATATAAAAATGGCGTAATTCATATACTCAATCAACACTTATTGTGCTTTAATGATAACGGCTTGATTGATGAAGCTTTGATGATAAAGTATCAGAAGATCATTTTAATCATATTTTGCTGTTTTATTTCCGAAAAGGAAAAATGCAATGTAGCCTTATCGAAAATCTTGTGATGTTTATGGTAATGAATGCTTAAGCGAACACCAGGGTCAAAATTGGTTTGCTCGTTTTCGTTCTGGAAATTTCGATGTTAAAGATGGACCCCGTCTTGGCCGGCCAATCTTTGAAATTGTTGATGAGATTCTTTATAAAATCTGACCTATTTCAGGTAGACTGACATATTTCATCTGGCAGCATCGCCACGGAATAAACGTCTATCATAAAACAGTTTTGAACCATTTGTTTGTGTACTTAACGGGTTCTACATGAATTAAATATGAAAAATTTAATGGACCTAGTCTCCATTTGTGAATCGCTGATGAAACGAAACCAAATCGAGCCATTTTTTAAACAAACGATTACAGGTGATGAAAAGTGGATCACGTACGAAAATAATGTGCGAAAAAGATGGTCAAAGCCCAGAGAACTTCACAAATAGTGTTGTGAAGATTGACGTCAAGGAAGGTGATGCAAAGTGGAATGATGGGTTTGGTAAGGAATTGTTCAACATCAGCTGGTTAAACTCTCTACTATGAACAACTAGTATGATTGAAGCAGACGATTCATGAAAAAAGGCCAGAATTTATCAACAGAAAGACGTTGTCTTCCGTCACGACAAGGCTTCAACTTTAATGACCCGGCAAATATTGAGCGAGCTTGGCTGGGAAGTTTTGATGCATCCACCGTATTGAGCAGGCCTTGCTCCGCCTGACTACAATTTTTTTCGGTCTTTACAAAACTCTCTTAATGGTGTCAGGCTGATCAATTAATATTTTCTAATAATATTCTATTAATTTTCTCCAGAAATCTCAGAACTTGTATAGCGACGGACTTCTGGTTTTACCAGAAGAGTGGCGATGTCATTGCTTAGTGTTTGAAATTTCTATAAATAAATTTGAGTCATATTGAGTATTTAATAGTTGACCGTTGCATTATAAAGGAAGGAGCTGGTCCGGGGTGGCGGTAATAAATAGGCTAAATAGTGGCAAAACTATTTTATTAAAAGCCAACGTTTCGACCCGATTTTGCAGGTCTTCTTCAGGGAGGTGTGTTCAGCTAGGAGTTTCACTTAGAACTCACTTGAATTCTAAGTGAAACTAATAGGCTAAATAGTGGCAAAACTATTTTATTAAAAGCCAACGTTTCGACCCGACTTTGCAGGTCTTCTTCAGGGAGGTGTGTTCAGCTAGGAGTTTCACTTAGAACTCACTTAAATTCACTGGTCGAAACGTTGGCTTTTAATAAAATAGTTTTGCCACTATTTAGTCTATTTATGACCGCCACCCCGGACCATCTCCTTCCTTTATAATGCAACGGTCAACTATTAAATACTCAATATGACTCAAATTTATTTACAGAAATTTCATACACTAAGCAACATCGCCATTCTTCTGGTAAAACCAGAAGTCCGTCGCTATAGAAGTTCTGAGATTCCTGGGGAAAATGTGATTTTTATAATCCTATTTTGAAGCCATTTCCACTTCCATAACTTATTATAATGTCGTTCAAAGCAAATATTCAGCTATTTTTCCCTATAAAAAAATTTAATTATGAACTAGGAAACTTTATTAATTGATCAGCCTGATACCATTAAGTGAGTTTTGCAATTACCAAAAAACATGCATGGATGCATCAAAACTTCCCAGCCAAGCTCGCTCAATATTTGCCGGGTCATTAAAGTTGAAGCCTTGTCGTGATGGAGGACAACGTCTTTCTGTTGATTAATTCTGGCCTTTTTTCATGAATTGTCTGCTTCAATCACACTAGTTGTTCATAGTAGAGAGTTTAACTAATGGTTTGACCAGGTTCGACCAGCTGATGTTGATAGAGAGTTTTACTAATGGTTTGACCAGGTTCGACTAGCTGATGTTGAACAATTCCTTACCAAGTCCATCATCCACTTTGCATAACCTTCCTTGACGTCAATCTTTGCCACTGTTTGTAAAGTTTCTCTGGGCTTTGACTATCACTTTCGCACATTATTTTCGTACGCATAAGCACTCATTACCATAAACATCACACAATTTTCGATAAGCCTACATTGCATTTTTCCTTTTCAGAAATAAAACAGCAAAATATGATTAAAATGACCTTTTGGGATTTTATCATCAAAGCTTCATCAATCAAGCCGTTATCATTAAAGCACAATAAGTGTTGACTGAGTAAATAAATTTGCTTTGAAAATCATGAAAAAAAAACACCGAAGTTACTTTTTCCTCAACCAAATATATGGTATATATATATATATATATATATATATATATATATATGGTATATGTATATAATTTAAGTGTAACCATTTAAGTGCTGGTATGTAAACAATAAATATTTCTAGGTACCTTTTGCAATGTTCAGTTGATCTTCTTTGGGACAAGCAGAAGCTGCGAGTTGAAACACACTTTCCTTTGGACGAATCAAATACTTGGTGTGGTGGTAGACAAGTTAGTCCCTTCCACTGACCTTCCCTGCACAACTTGAATTTTGAACAATCTTCAGTAACTGCCTCAAGTTGGCCTTCTTGGCATAATTCAGCGACACTTTTTCCGATATCTGTATTTTTAAATAATTCTAATTAATAATTCGAAGTAGATTATTTGTATAATAATATATGTAGTCAGTTAATATAACAGTTTTCTATTTTAACTTTTTTCTATTTAACTTCTGTAATCTATTTTTGGATTCTCGTGAGTATAAGTTAATTTCGTTTCTCACTGAGAATAGCCTGTTATTTTTTTAAAATTTGGTTTCGACATTTAATACAAATAGAGTAGAAAAAAAAACAGGCTCCTATAATAATTATAATTTAATAAATAGTTAAAATATCATTCTATTAGCTAGTTATAACATCATTTCCAAATAGAAATGATGTAGACATACATAACCCATTGAGGATTTTTCGTTAATGCATCATCGTTTGACCAATACTGATGATAAAAAGATTTTTACTACGGAAAGTATTAGAAAGTATTATAGCTTCATGCATGTAAAAGCAGGTAAATTTCCAACTGGCTTTAAAAATCAGTTAATTTTTTTTTTTTTTTACAACATGTCATACAGATAAGTTATAAGTTTATGGTTGTAGTAACCTTACACTTGACATAACAGTGGTTTGAGTACTACTTAGGAAATTGAAATTAATTTTTTACAGTAGGAAAAATCTCATAAAAACCTACATAAGATATAAATGAAAAAAAATTATGTTACAATCATTAAAAGTGCAAGAAAACTAAATATAATGATCAGTTAATTAAATTTTCTGTGATGCATCACGCTATGTCAGTTTTTTGTTAGTAGTATTTAATATCCCCTATGACATAATTATATGGTGGTACTTAAATATATAGGCTCCGGCACTTAAGAAATATTAGGAGGTAGAGGACGAAAGATAGTGTAACATCATAACTATGTTCAATGCAGGGGGGATGAAACGCCATACATAGACAAGTACAGCAGTATTCAGTTTATTGCCTTGGTTATAATATAAGACTAACTAAGAAGATTAACTTCTTCTGTTACTGGAAAAAGTATGCACATTCCCTCCAAAACTCCATGAAAATAAATTATAAAGAAAAATAAACTCCCATAATACACAATTTCTCTGCAGAGCGAGAAAAAAAAATCAGCCGAATCGAACCATTTTCAGCATAGTTACAGCCAATTATATTTTTTACACATATTTTGGTTTATTATTTGGACATTATTGTAACTGAACAATGATGAACCATTCAAACCACATTGCCATTTGTTCACTAACCAATATACTATACTACTTATTCTCATGGATCAAATAGTATTAACTATTAATGACCCATGTATTTATTCAAAATATAAGTCTAACTCCTTTAAAATCTACAAATTTAGAAACGATTAGCATAAATGCCGATTTTTTAAAATGGCTTTCCCTAAAGTAGGTTTAGAGGAAATTATTTCTGTATGAATAATTTCCCGTTGTTAGAAATAATAAAAATGGATAAATTAGGAAAAAAACTTACAACTTACAAAATCAATTTATCTAAATTACTTACAAAGTACTAAAAAGGCTATCCACACCTTATGCGCCATCATTGTTGAACACTGTATTCATTTTTACAGTTTTCAACCTAATCTTATCATCAAAAGCTGTCGAGTACCTCTTGTCAAACGGATGTCCCATTTTTTCATTAAATCTTTGTTGTTGAATTTTGTTCAAATCTTTACACATTGCAATCGTCATACAGTTAGTTTCAATGGAATCGGTGCTAACTGTTTGCAGTACCTAATAAATCCGCCCACTCTTCCTTTGATTATGATTCTTAAGAAGACGAAAAATGAAGTAGCTGACGCATCATTTTGCACAGTGTCCCGCATGGTCTCCTTAGTTCTTTGTTGTACAACAGTATATTTTTTTACATCAACCTAACCTTAACCTGGCCTCAAATCCCTTTTAGACACCTGACCATTAGGCCACTTCTCGTATTAAACTTAACCATAACCATAACCATCGGACCTTTAAAAAGTATCTAACACGTCTCTCTTACCCATTGAAGAATCAGGTACCCATATTAAAACAGCTGAGTGTCCTCGGACGTCATTTTGTTTTTCTTATCCGCCATTTAATGTGTCTGTAACCTTCCCAATGTTCAATTGTAGCTACTTGCATTTTTTTTGTAACCTTCACAATGCTTAAATAACCTTAAGAATACTTATTTTTATCTATCTGTAAACGGCATTGATTCTGATGTTTACAAGTTGCATCTTGTCGAGGTTGTAGGAAAGCAACGATATGAACAATGTTTTCCATGACATTGCTGTCAAAATGTAGGCAATGGACTCTGAACTAGTAATTTTTTAAGCATAGAAATGTTAAAGGGCTTATTAATCTATTCATAAAATCCTTATTGAAACGCAAACTATGAGCTTCGAACTTTTAATCCTTATTAATAATATTTACTACAATCTTTAAATTTAGGACTGCTCAAAAAGTAGTTCCGCCCGATAAGTATACTTCTCACATTAATGTTTTAAAAATAACAAAAAAACTTTAAAACAAGGTAATAATTTATATACATATTTACATATTTGCTCACTGCATCTCTTCTCTTTATCTTTTTCTATATCTTAGGGGTTAGCTATGGAGCAGTAGTACGATGAATTACATGAATGATGCACATTTTATTAAAACCTTTCAGGATTTCCTTATCGAAGCGTAAATTAATAAGGCTTTGAGCTTTTTCTCCTTAAAACATAACCAATGACATAGGACGCATTAATTCTTTCATGAAATACCTATCCAAACGTAAACATTATTGGACTGTGAACTTTTGATCCTTAAAACTTAAGTAATGATATAAGGCTAATTAATCTTTTCATGAATTACCTATATAAATGTTAACAATGGACTTTGAACTAATAATCCTTCAACACCAACAATTTGAACTTTTTTAAAATCTTTAAAATTCTTATCTATTTGTAAAAAATGTCCTTTGTGTTGGAATGTCAAATTAAAATATAAGTTTCGTTTGATTGTTCTGTACCTTTTTGGAATAATAAAAAATATAATAGTGGCCTTTTTATCGTTTCTTTTTCATCACAACTTATAACATAATTTAACAGGTTATGGACCCAGCATTAGTTTCCACAAAATAAATTTAAATGTAAAAAGGAATATTAAGGTTTTTGTTTTTGTGCGGTTAACCATGGATTTAGTTGATAAAATGATGGACAATGGCAACTTTAATTTGTGAAAGAAAATAATTTGATTACTTTTTACAGTTGTGAATTTAACAGAAATTTCAAAAGGAGTAATTAAAGAATCTGATGTTTAAATATGAAATAAATAATTTTATAAAGAAAGGTGGTAAGGATATTGACATTGTGGACCCTAAGTAGACAAAATAATTCATAATTTGTAAAATTTCTGCTGAAATGTTTACTAAAGTCTGTGGAATGTTTAGGGAAGAGGGCCAACAACAAGTATATTCCCTATTTTGAAGGTCTTTAAGTATTTTTAGATAATGTATGGAAGCACCCAAAAGAAACTTCAGATCCTTGAACGGTATTGCGCACAAAATTCACTGGTCTTAAACCCCGAAAAATCTGGCAAAATAAAAATAAAAACATTGGCAAAATTTTCTAAGGCTGCTGAACACTTTATTCAGAGGTCAAATGTTGCAGGAGCAAAAGTATGTGAGATTTTAATAAGAGGAAAGAGCGATGTATTTTTTGCCCAGATCAACACCTAATTATATAGTACGATTGGAAACCGCATTTTCATGGCAGTTTTTAAAAAAACTATAAATGTTCGCATAAAAATATCTTCATTGCCAGTCCATCCACTTCCATAAAAGTGTTTGAAAAACTTGTGCGCTAGACAGCCTAATCTCGAATTCAACTGGATATCACAAGTTAAAAAAATAGCCGCTTCTAATTTCGTTCAAGATTACTTCAACGATTTCTCGGATCCAACTATATTAATAAAGGACAAAAAACTATTTTAACAGTTGTATCTAATAACTTATATTCTAAAAACATTGAACACGCCTTTAATTCCAACTACAGTCACATCTATAGACGAATCTGTTGCTATAATTACCCAGAACCGCCAAACTACCTCAGATTTATTGCCCCTCTACGAAAACTGCGAACAGTGGATCGTATGACAGTTTCGATTAATGACCACCAGGCGCTGTATCATGGAAATATCGCTCATGTTTTAAGGGCTGAAGAAGTTTGTAAGGGGTGCGGTCACCTTATCACTAATGGCATAAAGCATTTGGTCCTTGAATGTCCGTTGGTTGAAATTCATTGAAAGATATATCTCTATAAATATATCAATGCGGGCACGGATGGTTTATCGTTGGAGAGATTTTTAAATATTAAAAGTCTTGAACACTTGAACAATGTGTTTTACTTTATTGCTCGTATTTTTTACTCTCATAGTTTACTTAATAACCAGTAACTTTAAAACTAATGATTATTCGTGTTTTAGTATATCATATAAATATAACCCATATTTTCTTACTTATTAAAATGGAAACAAATAAATCGCATTATTGAAATGAAAATAGATTTTTATTATCCTGGGACTTTTGTCCCTTTAAGACAAATTATAGATACAGAGAAAATGCCTGTGAGCCATAAAATTAAATTAAATATTTACAATGCTCATTAAAATAAAAATACTGGAAGAAAAATAAAACAAAACCACTAAATACATACAGATATACACAATACAAACATGTGATAATAAAATAACATAAATAAACAAAACCATTTCTGGGGAAACTTAAAAAGTTCTCTTAACTACTTTTCATGATCAATCGGGTTGGGAAAGAAGTAGGTGTTTAAAAAGGAGAGATTTGAATGAGGAAACTGATTGCGCATGTCGGATATCGGGAGGGATGGTATTCCAGGTGGAGAGGGCTTGAATTATAAAGGATTTGTCAAACGCAGCTATTCGGTGGGGAGGTGGATAGAGGTCAGAAGTACGGAATCTAGTGGGACGGGATTGAATGGAATATTTAAATTGCAGGCTGTGAAAAATATAGGAAGGTCGCTGAGTTCTGATGGTTTGGTATAGAAAGGTAGCAAGGAAGTATAGACGGCGGTTATATGCGTATCTCTTGGGATTCCGAAAACAAAACGTATTGCGCAGTTCATCCTTATTGTGACCTAAAGAAGTATATTTAAGTTTATGTATCACTGTTTCTTATAAAATTTGTAATTTTTTTTTCTGTTTTAATTAAGTTTATTTTGTTGGTGAATCTACAGTGAAACTTAGTTTATATTGATCTGAAAAATTTGTTTTATATTAATGTATTTATCTTTTCTCCTTCTTATATTGTCCTCATGTATTATATCATATTTTATATTGTACATGTTATTTATAAACTAACTACAACTAACATTGATTGGGCCAGACTCCATGGCTACGCTGTTTATAAATATGAAATAAATAATTTTATAAACAAAGTTGGTGAGGATATTGACATTGGTGGATCCTAAGTAGACAAAATAATTTATAATTTGTAAAATTTCCGCTGAAATGTTTACAAAATCTGAGGAATGTTTGAGGAAGAGGGTCAACAACAAGTATATTCCCTCTATATGAAGGTTTTTAAGTATTTTTAGAAAATACTAATTATGGAATCGGTGTTAATGTGAGCGAATTGCAAATATTTCTTTCAGGGACAACACCACTGAACTTGGTAAAATAACAAACGCAATGCTAATGTCTAAAATTATCAGTACCCAACTTCGCTTGTTTGAGCATTTTGTACCACTCGGAGGCAGTTACCAAATGCAAACAAATCTCTTCGTTAATGATTTTTTATTTCTGAAGGAAATAAGAAGATAAATGATCCACTTGAAAATTCAAATGTTGCTCTCGAGTCTGCTTTATAGAAATGTTTCAGATGTAAATTTACTAATCACTTAGCGAATTTTCTTAAGCTCAGTAAAAATTTTAAATATAAATCATTCAAAAGCAACAAAAAATCGAGATTCTTATACAACATATTTAAGAATAAGTATAACCACGATGAAATATACTGATTTCTTCAGTAAAACAATAAAATCTCATAACGATCAGACACTAGTATTTTTATGGTATCTAATTCATCTATTGATAGCACGTGCTGATTGGTTGATTTAATCGCTTCATAAAAAATGACTAATGACTTATATATATATATATTACAAAATGTGTGGCAATTACTAGTGAAATAGCTGAAGGTAAGATCTATTTTGGTATGAATGCTAAGAGCTTGAAAAATATGAAACAGATACTATAATACTAAGGGAAGTTTTGTACGTTCCAGAATGAGTGAAAATTTACTTTCTGTATAAGCTATTTCTTCAAATTGAAGAAAAGGGATGTTTAATGGTAATTTCGTGAAAACAGTTACAATAAACAATAAACTAGATAAAAGGGGAGAGGGATAGCTAAGTGAAAAATAGTAGTAGCAATATTAATCCTATTTATTTATGTATGAATGACCATTCATATAAGAATAGACTTCATATCGATCTGCACAAAGTTTAGATGTAAAACTACAGTTCGGGAATTTGTTAAGACAAACTTTACGAGCGGTATATTGCTGTGTGAAATGTTTTAGTG